TTCTGTCTTTATCCGGGAGACGTTCGCCGATCCGACTCGATTTGCTACGGCTCGTTTCACGCGCTGCCGCCAGACACCTGGAGCCTCTTTGTAATTTTCCGACGCTCAGCGTCTGCAGCAAAAATCCATCTTCGAAAAGAGACACATAAAACAGTGCTCAACGATAACGCCATAGGGTATTTTTCCCTTTCTCTTTACTTCTTCGCAAACATTAGAAGCACTAAACCTTTCCACTCCAAATTACCGGGCGCAAAAGATGTTATTCGGGTGACATGCTCACGATAAACGCGCTTACCTTGCGCCAACTGGAGCTGCTGTAAGGGACAGAGATTAAGAACGAAAAAAAAAAGCCAAATAAAGGCCGGCTTTTAGTAACGGGTCACTGTCAACACGAGTTCAGAGAGCACGCGCGATTGAACACCGTGTATCTGTTTTTGTCGCGCTTGTCATTTCGTATTGGTGTAAGCTTTTGCCGGCGATACACGAGACGCGCGTGCTTACAGGAGGAAACATTTCACACCACGATAAGTACGGGGCGCACTTGAAAGGGGCACCGCCAAAGGTAAGCCGCTTGATTACAATGATCGAAAGCAACCACGCATGCCGTCGATGTTTTAGCGCTATCGGGAAGCATGGATGCCGAGGGGTCGATTGAGGAAAGCTACAGAACGTGACTGGAGCAAGTTATCGGGCTACTGCGAAGCCGCGTGTGAAGGTATAGGCGCATCGTATATGTAACGAATGGTCCAACGACACAGGCGGTCAATGATCTCTTTGGAATCTAAGCAAAGTAATTATTGACGTATTTTTCGGAAAAGACGGCGGTATTGACGTTGCCAGCGATCGAATATGCACAACAAACAGTTTCTTGAATTATTTATTTGTGATGTCCTTTTTTTTTTGTTAAAGAGTGGAGGTCAGATGTAACTGTTGTGGGCTGAAGTTCGTCATAGCATCGTACATGTTAATCGAATTCGCGTGTAAATAGCTAATAACCCTTATTAATACTACCAATTTATTCTTACGCAAAAAGTCTATAGCGCCCCCGTCACACTTGCAATATAAATGTCTGTCGTGGCTGGATTTCCAACTGGCTGCTGTTATGAATGAGTATTCTCCAAGTTGAGGAGAAACGGAAAGACGTGAAGGTTAGCCGGTTCTCAGACCGTCTGGCTACCCTCTGCTGAGAAAGGAGGGTATGGGGTATGAAAGCTGACAAATAAGAGACGTTAGAAGCCCCCAAGAAGCACAACAACGCTCTCAATGCCTTGCGTGCAGAGGACGGTCTCGGCCAGTGTCCTAAGACCCTTCCTTCCGACAATTTACGATTGTAAAGTCTATCTAGAACTTTCGAAAGTTCTTTTCTTGGCGCACTGAAGCAAGGACACTCGCAGAAAAGAAGGACAATTGTCTCCACTCAGCTACAGTTGTCGCATTTCGGGCTGCTGGCTATTCCGATTTGAAACGAATAAGCATTCGTAAAGACCACCCCGAGCCACAGATGATATAAGAGCGTCTCTTCAGCTCTGGTTATTCCCGACGGAAACAGAGCTGTAGGTGTGGGTCCAATTTATGAACGCGGACGTTGGTAAATGCCGTCGAATCCCACTGAGCGAGCGTCAGTTCTCGTGCAAGTGATCGAAGCCTTGTAGCGGCATTCGTTCTGGATAATGGTACAGCAGCACGAGGGGCATTGTCATGAGCAGATCGGGCTGCTTCATCTGCATGGTTGTTTCCGTCGATGCCGCAGTGGGCCGGTATCTATTGATACGCTATGTCATGCTCCTTCTCTATAGCGTGGCGATGACAGTCTTATATTAGCGACTAGCTGTTAATTTGCTCCGTAACGATATGGCAATTAAGGTAATGCCCTGGAGGGCTGCTTTAGAGCCGCAGATTTACCATGTCTGCGGTGGTCCTTCAACTAGGAACTTAAGGCAGCATGGATGGCGGCAAGTTCTCCAGGCTGTTGATGATGTCTGATGCCATGTTGTGAACTTTATTTCGACGGATTTCTCTGGAATTTTCCCATTCCCCTGCTGAGCTTGCAGCAGTTAAAGTTGCCCTTATGGGAGTTCCCCATGAGTAAACAATTCTGTAGCGTGTTGCAGAAACAGGCGCACGTGAAATTATGTGAACAATTGTGTTTTTGCCCCATGTTTATGCATTACAGTGCTTACAAGTAAGGTCGAAATGAAACACCACATATTAGGCGAATACAAAGTGCGAGACATCTGCGCAAGAATTCCGCAAGAGTAAAGCTGATCTATATGGCTCAGGTAGGGGAGCAAATAATATCAACGACAGGTGATTTATGCACGGAAGAGTATGGCGCGCATATCCAGCCACATATGAGGATTATGGGGTTGTGTTGCGCAAGCATATTCCCAAAGATTCACCGAAAACTGGAATTCACTGAGAAGGCACGCTCTGAAGGGCTAAGACGAAGAAAATAAAGTAAATTATTGAATATATTTATTGCTATTGTCCACTAACGGGCTAGTGAGCTTTAGAGGTAGTACTTCTGAGACAGCATTATTAATTATTTATTTATTAAATAATGATCTATTTTGTTACGCGATATGTACATGGTTAACCTTATACGATTTTTTTATATATAGGAGCAGGTGCTCTAGACTTGTGGTTGCACAATTCTGTCTGCATTTCGTGGACTGTTTGAATAAAGCTAATATCCATTAGAATTCAAATTACGTTGATTTCATTGTGACGAACTACTGCCCTACCCTGTCGCTCAGCATACTACTTACCGAATGAAATGCTTTCACTTTGTGAGCATGCAGCCTTAAAATCCACGGGCGTCTCCTCCGAGATACCGATCAGTTACGTCAAACCCTGGAAGGCAGCCATAGACAGCAACGCTTTAACAGAAAGCCCGATAACCGCGTTTTATGGGGCATGCGAGAAAACACAAAATTCGACTTGTCATGGTCAAAGCAAGGCTTTTTTTTATTTTTTCCCCCGTTAATATAACTGTAACACAATTACAAGCGCTTGAGGCTAGTGTCAGAGTTCAGTTTATTGAAGCGAATTGCTCTAACAGGCATGCAATATTTGCACGAGAAATAGCAACACTAGTAAATTTATCAACAACATTTCCGCTAAATAACTCTTGAACAAGTAACGCTGGTGTTCATAGGGTAATTTAAGAATTCCCACCCAAGGTTTTGTAAGTTCTAGGCACTCGAACTTAATTCTGGGCATAATAACAGTTTCCATGGCAAAGTCGTTTCCAAAATTTGCAACGAAGTGCATTTGATGTAAAAGACTATGTCTGTTTAGGGCAGGTAATAACCCCGAAGCGGAACCAAGAGATTGAAGTAACTAGAAGAATAATACCCCTGTCACACGGCCACCACCAAACTCCGTTAAACACCGTCAACGTAAATCTCCCTTAGGGGGTTCGATGGAAAAGGAGTTGTGGCAGTGTCACACGGCAATGACAAGGTTGTAACAGTTGCCGCGAGGAGGCTCAGCTGGCGCTGTTTGATCTTCGTAAAAGTATTCTAATTTCATCTCTATTGATTTTTTTGTGAATCCTCTTTATGCGGTTTTTACAAAAGGCACTATTAAGTAGGTATGCGACTAAAAACATTAAAAATGATTTCATATAAAAACGCATTTGCTAAATGTAGCAATGCTCCTAGTGACGCTGGCCACATTGTGCTTTTAGTTGTTTTGCTGCTGTGTATATGCCCGGTACCGGTACGAAAGTTCCCATGCTTCATTGCCTCGTAAGCGCGCATTTTGTGTTCTTCAGCCATGAGTGACACAGCGGACGACGTGAGGAAGTGGTACGAAAATGCGCTGGTAATGACGTTGATCGGCTGGCGCTGACCGGCCCGACTCGCGGGGCATGGTGTGTAGGGCATCAGTGTTGAGAGTAAGTGAACTCTGGCGGGCGTAAATATATGCAAACAAACACCCGTTGTGAAGGAGTACTACAATGAAGGAACGTTTATTATTGCCAAAATGTATTATTTTTACACTGCGGCCATTTAGTGCTCGAAATTGTTCTCTGACCTCTAGACTGCTGGGGACGAAAGTACCTCGTTTCGTTGCGAAAGGAGATCGTTGAACGTTTTTTTTGTTTTTTTTTTGCGAAATTCTTCGTTTATCTTCGTTTGCGTAAGGGTGGCCGTGTGACACGGACCGCACCTTCATTGTCATAAGGAGGAGGGAGTTAAACGGTCTTCGCAGGTGCCCGCGTGACAGGGGTATAAGAATGTGGTGGAGCACATTTGTCAATCACTCTTAAAATATGACAGGTAGATTGCCACTATCCTCAAGAGGAAGGTATATAACAGCTGTATCTTGCCGGTACTTAGCTACGGAGCAGACACCTGGAGTCTTTCAATGAGCGTTCAGCTTAAATTGAGGACGACGCAGTCAGCAATCGAAAGAAAAATGGTAGGTGTGACCTTAAGAGACAACAAGAGAGCAGAGTGTATTTGGGAACAAACGGGGGTTAAGGATATCATAGTTGAAATGAAGAAGAGGAAATGGACATAGGTTGGGCATATAGCGCGTAAACAGGATAACCGCTGGCCATTAAGGGTGACTAACTGGATTCCCAGAGAAGGCAAGTGGGTTAGGGGGAGACAGACGGTTAGTTGGGCAGATGACATTAACAAGTTTGCAGTTATAAATTGGCAGCAGCAAGCACAGGACCGGGTTATCTGGCGGAACATGGGAGAGGCCTTTGTCCTGCAGTGGACGTAGTAAGGCTGATGATGATGATGATGCATTTGATGTTCTCGAGATTTTTGAGCTCACTTGTGTTAGTAAGTTTTTCACAGGCTCACAGTTGGAAAGATAAACTGTTTAATTGATGGAAAAGATAGAATAATCAGTAGCGACGAAGCAACGTACGTGACAATTTCTTTTCTCATTCAGGTTCTGTCCTACTCCGCGTATGTTCCCAGCCTGACATTTCAATTCCGCTAACCCTCGGTCATTCCTGACAACGAACTGTCCTCAGTTCATGTGGTGTAGTCCCGAAGATACGCAGGTCTTTTGGATACATGTGTGCTACGTCTCGGCATGATTTCTTCCTGATCAGAGCTTGACTGGTCGAACTGTTCCTGCATGGTATTTTCCACCCCATCTTTTCAGATGGCTGATGTGGGTGATTGTCGAGTAGACCCTGTTTCTTTCGGTCATCTCGGTCACTCTGTAGGTGTCTGCTGGGAGAACTTCTACCACTGTGAGTGGACCTCTACACCTTTTGTGGGCTTTTGTTGGGGCACCACCAGTGTGCTTTGGAACGCAGTGCATGACCACTATGTCTCCAACACTTAACTTGTCCGCTGAGAAAGGACGCTTGTTGAAGTGCTGTTTTGACTTTTCTTGCTGGCTCACTATGTCCCCTTGAGCTATCTCTTGAAGTTTCTCAGGGCATACCCACTCGTTATTCTCCGTGTTCAGCCATCTCAGTACACCATGTTCATCTTGCATCCTTGGTTGATATCCATGCAAGAGCTTGAAGGCGCTTGTCCCTGTTGAGGCATTGTAAGTAGTGTTTAGGTAGCTTTCTACCTCCTTGATCTTCTGATCCCAGTCCATGTTAGTTGGGTCCTTGATCGTTGCCATAATACACGGCACCAGAATTCTGTTCACACGCTCCACCTAACCATTTGCCCTTGGTTTGTGGGCAGAGTTCAGAGTGTGAGCCACGCCATTTGCCTGACAGAAGGCTTCGAAGCATGGCGGTCAGAGATGATGTCCTGCGGAAGTCCGAACTCTGTTAGGAAGTTCTGCATACACCGCAGCGCATTTCTCGCCGAGGTGTCTCGCACGGGGTATACAGGCGCACAAACGTGGTCAGATTGTCCACCACCACCAATATTCACTGGTTTTTCTTGGAACTTCTCACAAACGAACCAACGTGGTCCAAAGTTTGCCAATGACTTTAAATGGTCTCTTTCCAGGTGGTATCGAGTACAGGAGCCCAGGATCCTTTCCTCCTGATACCGTTGTGATAAGACACTCAAAACACATGTAAATGTGCTGGTCTACGAAGCACTTCATCCGAGGAAACCAATAAAGTTCCTTGATTTTTGTCACCCTTTGGTCTGAAGCAAAATGTCTCTGTAAGTGATAAAACTTGATGCACAATGTTTTGCGCATGCTTTTAGGCATCACGAAGAGAAGTCGTCCATCGTCTTCTTGTAATGAAGTTTCCCGTCTCTCTGCCGTAAATTTTTCACCTTGGCGCTTTCTTCTTAGGTCCTTTCTTTGACTGGCTTCTCCAATATTTGAGCGAGATTCACCAAATCTGCAACAGAGCATTGAATGATCACAACTTGTTCATCTAATTTCATGGTAAGGGAACTTCAATACTTGTTTCGACACCCTCATCGAGGGTGTCCTTAGGCGCTCCTACAGGTTCACAACTCAAATAGTCCACATGTGCCATTTTCCTACCTGCTCGGTGCTTCAACTCAGTCATACTCTTGAAGCAAGTCGAACCATCTTGTTATTTGTCGTTTAAGCGTCTTGTGCGCATTCAAATACACAATTGCTTGACAATCTGTTACCAACGTGAACGGAGTGTCTAGGAGAAATGGACGAAATCTTTCCATACTGCAGACTATCGCCATCAGCTCCAGCTTTCCCACATGGTCATTTCTTTCAGCATCAGTGGTACGTTTACTAACACAGAATACCAAGTTCCAGCTTCCCAACTCACCTTGTTGAAGGATCATCCCCGCAAGTCCATGTCTGCTTGCGTTCGTGTGGAGCTCCGTCGGAGCCAAATGGTTGTACAACTTCATAACGAGTGGCACTGTCAGTTTCGAAGCTGGTCAAAAGCTTATTGCTTATCCACCCGCCATGTGAACTTCCTGTAAGCGGTTCTGCATTCGAGGCATAATGGGGAATGAATCGCCTGCAAAATCCCGTTAGACCCAGAAATCCCCTTACACTGGGAAGATCAGTTGGTGTGCTAGCGTCCAGTATGGCTTGTTGCTTCACTTAGCTTGGCAGCAGGTAGCCCTTCGTAATCTTGAAGCCTAAGTAGTCGATTTCGTTACTTCCAAACACACACTTGGATATTTTCAGAGTTAGACCAGCAGCTCACAGGGCATTCAAGACCTCTTTGAGCCGAACCAACAACTCTTCTCAATCCTTATCTGAAATGGGTAGGTAGTCCATGTAACACAACACTACAGTGTTGCGCAAAGATCCGAGGACCTTGGTCATTAGGTGTTGAAATACAGCAGGACCATTTCTCAACCCAAACACCATATGTTCCAACGGCTCGGTCTCATCAGGCGTGATGAATGCAGTCTTGGCCTTCGATTCCTCACTTAGTGGAAGCTGAAGGTATCCGTTTGCACACTCTAACACATGTTACATCTGTGCTGCGAAGATTCATTGCAACTTGTCATCAATGTTTGGCAAGGGAAAGTGTTGCGCCACTGTCTGGCTATTTAGCCATCGATAATCTATTACTAGACGATTTTCTTCATTCTTCTTTTTCACAAGTAGCTCTGGGCTAACGTATGGCGAAGATGTTTGGGTTGCGATGCCAGTCGCCTTCCATTCCTTGACAATTTCTTGGATCGCCTTTTTCTCCTCCGCGTTAGTGGTTTACGGTTTGCAGCTAACTGAGCTGCTCCCGGGACGCTCTGTGATCGTCATGTCTAGTTGATTACAATACTCCAACTCTGACACATTAAGTGCAAAGCAGTCCCTATATTCATTCAGCATTTTCAGCAGTGTGTTAACTTGCTGTTCATTGACATTCTTACCAACGTTTAGCATACTTCGATCAATTGGCTTCTGCTGAGGCACAGGTCTAACGGGGGTTAGTTCTAAGCTCCCTGATGGCAGCTCATGCAGCATGAGCCAACGAACTTCCCTTGACCAGCTGTTGGTCTTCTTCCTTGTTATTCAACATGGGTATCTCAACCATTCCGTCCTCAAAGAGAATTAGTATTTCCTTCCAAGTTACCGCAGGAAATATAACATTTCCTTCCCTCTTATTGGTCTCCACTATCACCCAAAACACAGTCCTTTTGGGCATAACAATGGCCCCCTTGACACGAAGTGGCTCCTTCGAAGGCTTCATCTGGGCAAGGTCAATGTTGCAAAATGAAATATCATTTCATTAGCCAGTCCTGAGTTCGTCTCCCATGCGTAGGTATGTGATGTGGTCCTGTTCCGTCCAAGTCCTACCAACCAGCAGGTCCACAAGCAAGACACTGTTGTGAACGACAACTACCTTGACCTTACGGCATAACACACCATCAATTTATATGTTAACCTCAGAGATTTCTTTAGACTGTACTATAGTTGTATCAGTGCGTCCCAACCAATACAGTGCTTGGGCCTTGCACACAACTTGCAGGTTGCACCGTTCAGCCACTTGATGACGCAATGAACAGTCTGAACTTCCCGAGTCAATCATCATGGAGAGCTGATAAGTACCATTGATGATCGCAGTTTTCAGAAACTTCGATGAACCACTGTCAATTGTTGGGTCCTCATTCGCCATGAAGTTACCAGAAACGCTTGTCTTTGAGCAGTCTTTCAATATGTGCGCTATAGCTTCCACAGCTATAGCATTCTCGCTCTTACGGATCATGCTAGGGAGGCTCTGGTGGTAGTCCTCCCCCACTTGCTTGGTCAGTATAGCGCGTGCATTTGTAAGCGCTTTCTCTGCTGGATGCGTGGCACTCCAAGATTGTGAAGGCGAAGTCTTCACATAAGGTGTCACAGTACCTGGGTCACCACCATGTGGCTTGGCCCCTGGATACTGCTGCATTCTGGCTTGGGTTGTTAATTTTTGAACAGAGCATTTTCGGTGCGGAGCAATTAGGCGGACCAGGTTGTCGCATTCTGTCGTCCTCGCGTGGCGTACGTAGCACAATCAAAACCACTAATATCATAGTCAGCTGTAGCATATATCCCAGCAATGCTTGCGACATTTGGAGAGGGGCTCTAAATGAGAAAACGATCGCATACTTTGAACAAGGTGTATAGGCTGAAGAAGCAAAAGTTGAATAACCAAGAATCAAAGTTAATTCGGACATAAGAAATGACGTTTTATATGAGACTATGGTTTTAGCACGAGAAACAAAAGCATTTCTCAGCCCAGGAAAATGCGGCAACATCAATAAGCGGCTGCAAGCAAAATCATTTTGGTCTACACGTTGTTACTAACTTATTATGCGTTCTACGTGAAGTAATTTACCGTAAAAAATGGTTCAATGGGTGCGAGTCTATAGTATAGCAACCGTCGAAGTCCCGAGGCATACGAAAGCCATTATCAGATTCTTTATGTTATCGCAGAAACAAGTCAATAACATCCAGAAACATAACCGACTAGAGCGGGAGAAAGATAAAAACACAAACCACGCATGAAAATTGAAAGAGGAAGCAAGCGAGAAATAAAAAGAGATGGAAATGAAAAAATAGAGAAAAATAAAAACAAGCACACACAAAAAATATAGAAAAGAGAAGAAAAAGGAAAGAGCTGAGGAAAAAAAAAGATAAAACATTAAATAAAACAAACAAGAATGCCCTGCTGCGCAGTTCCTTCAGGCTCGACAGCACTATAGAGCAAACCTGCCTTAATTTTTACGGCAAAAGCTGTTTTGGGATCACAACATGGGTGAGGCGCACGCCGTAGTTGTCGGCCGCCGGTGTCCGTAATCACTATCGCATGAAATAACAAAAAAGCTTAAATAAAAAAAACACAAAGAACATGTGGTGACATAGTGAAATTCGAACGCGGGTCCACTGCGTGCCAGCCCTACCGCTGAGCCATGCCGATCCTTAGGACTCGCTCGCAAACTTGCCTTAGGAAGGCTTGATGTCGGGAAAGAAATCACGTTAATATGAGTAACAAAGTATTTTAAAACAGGAAAGGAACAACCAGGCGTCACAAAAGGCGACAAGCCTGACAAGCCACCCCAGTTGCTGAGTGGTTAATAAATCATATATACACTGATAAACACATAACACATGCAGCCACACACACGTTGACTACAATATTTACCAAGTTTCACTTTAGGCTTGTAGCCCGCAAGAGAGTGAGCAGTGCTGTCATGGCTCGTAACACACTGGAGCTGCTTTGCCCTGGGCCCAGAATATGGCTCAACTCAATTTGAGTCCCGTTGGAAATTTAAGACGTCCTTCCAAAAATGTCTCTCTGGTATGCACAGCCTGCAATCACAGAGGTCACAATTGAGATCTGCTGGGATGTTACACCGGACACACAACGGTGAGTCCGACAGTCTAATCTTAAGTCATTGGTGTATGTGACGTTTAATCAGATGCGCTGCAAGCATTTTTCCTCTTGGCTGGTGAGGTTTTTCATCATACCAAAGTGACACAATAGATCTATCTTGTACAGAGGTCCATACTGGTGACTAGCGTTTGCCAAGAGAGATCAATGGAGGCGCCAAGCGTGTGCCGATGCGAGTGTCACAGTAGCCTGCCCGTTGCCAAATACAATATAACGCCCGGGCTGATGACGATGCCAAAGCTGGACATGACGCCTTGAGATAAATATTTCATATACGTTTCTTAAGAAAAGACGCGATACTAAAGAAATGTAATGTCTGCCTCGTCGAATCATTCAG